GAGCGTGATTGCGTGAGCTGTGAGACCCAGCTTAGCCAGTCTCGTGATAAAGAATTGACCTTTTCTGCCTGGCATGCTTCTGCTGTATCTGCTTTGAAATATAAACGATGATTTGCACTTGGGGGTGTTGACAGATGAGTGCTTTGAAAGTGTAAACTATCAAAGCCTTGGTTACGCTGCTGGAGCCTTTCAGCTTTTTGAAGTTCTGCTGTGGAATTCTGCACTGATCTCATTTCCAGTTGCCTGTTCTAAGACCCCTGGGGTACCTGGCAGCTGCTCTGCTCCTGACTGCAGTCCTGCTTTCAGTTTGCAGTTGTGCTTAAGCGAACAGTGGGCTGCTGCTAACAAGCCGTACGTGACGAAGACGGTGTGGTGAGGGGCTGCAGCTTGGTTACGGCCCCATCTGACTTGCTGAGTTAGAAGGGACTTCTCATGAATGTTTCTTTTCCCCTTGTTCTCATAAATTTCATTTTTTCTGTAAATAGCCAGGTTCTAAAGCATTTGAAATGAGCCACCAGCTAGCAAATAGCATGGACTGCCCTGAGACTTTTGCAAAAACCCCGTAACTGTTCTCTAAATTGCATGTTAGGCTTTACTGGCCGTGTTATTTCCTGCTGCTGGTGCTTTGTCCAGTCTAAACATAAAACCCACTGCGTGCAGAGGTCTCTGTAGGAGGTCAGTGGTGTCTGTGTTGCGCAAAACGACAGAGAATTGGGTTTAAAGCATTTGAGATGAGTGAAATGGGGCAGAGAGTTTGCCTTCTGTGTTTTATGCTGACCTGACCATGCTGTGGTTACTCAGCACTTAATCCTCAGCGGGTGCTAGTGAGAGAGGCAGTGTTGGAGTGTGTAGGCAATGAAGTAAATGAATTATATCGTTAAGTGCTGTACTTAACACTGTGACTAACTTTGCAATTAGCTTCACTTCTCGGGCAGCAAGGCCAGATGCTTGGCTCTGAGAGTGATTTGCAGTAAGGGTGTACAACAGCTGAGATGCCCTGGACAAGGAGTGTAAGCCAGGTAGGATGATGAGCATCAGAAATACCTGCTGGTATTGGCTGTGTGTAGAAGTGGTGCTGAACAGGCCCTTCTAACCCAGCCGGGGACCAGTGTAGCTGGCTAAGGCTTGAGCAGGCTCCAGGCTAGTAAGGTGGATGCGGCTCAGTGCTCGACACTTAATTTAACATCAGGTTGGTGTAGAAAACCAACTGTAAAACGACGTTTCTTTGCGCCCAAGCACTGCACAGATTTCCATGTGCTTATCCCAACGGGGTATTATGACAGTGGTCCTGTTATTCCTATATTGTGGATGCAGAGCTGAAGCACAAAGGCCTGGTATCTCAAAAAATACTGAGGCATCTTAACCCTGCTGGTTTAAATGGAAAGTGAAGGATCAAATATCGCTATGGATCAATGCCAGAGACTAGAGAGAGCTTGTGGCCAAGCAGGGAATTGAATTCTGCCCTCAAATCCCAAACTCCACACTCTGTAGACGGAAGATTCAAGGTGGTTTGAAAATTAGCCACCTGGATCCCTAAAGTTTGGAAGTATGTGATTTTTGCCCATTTAAGGAAAAAGTTGATAACTTTGTACTGTTTTAACCTCACAAGTAGGTTAAACAAATGAAATATTCAGGACAAGCACTATTTTTTCATGTGAGGAAAAGAAAGAGGTGGTGATGCAGTAGAATGGGCAGAATGATCTGTGTGCTGATTTGAGCTTCACTCCTGTCGCTGACACACAGAAACGTGCCAGAGCCTGGGCAAACGAATCTGCAGGTAGAGTCCCGATTTCCTCTAATTCGCTGCTTGGCCAGAGCCGCACTGTGAGACACCACGAGCTGTGCAGTAGCCAGTTACGGCATCTGTAGCCGTGATACTCAAACACTGAGAGGCTCCTACCTGATTTGTTTTATCGGAAGAGCTTAGTTGTATATTCCCGTGCTGTCTAAATAGCTGTAACAGGCTAACGGATGGGATACTGGGAAACCACGCCGGCAGGAAGGAAACGGCCTGTCAGGGCCAAGGAATGTGGTGTCGGAGAATAAGAAATAGGACTGGAGCCAATGGCTGTTTGCATCCACTGGCTTTTACATCCATCAGGATATCAGTGTTCTTCATGAGCTTAGTTGTATATTCCCGTGCTGTCTAAATAGCTGTAACAGGCTAACGGATGGGATACTGGGAAACCACGCCGGCAGGAAGGAAACGGCCTGTCAGGGCCAAGGAATGTGGTGTCGGAGAATAAGAAATAGGACTGGAGCCAATGGCTGTTTGCATCCACTGGCTTTTACATCCATCAGGATATCAGTGTTCTTCATTGAGTCATGAAAATTACTTCTAGAAGTGTAAAAACAAGATCTTGAAATCTGCTTTTGCTTAGCTGTCCGTCATGTAAAAGGAAATTGAAAGGATGAGATCCCAGATGAAGCGTGGCTTTTAAATTGCATACATGACACGAAAACCTAATCTTGTTTCAGACGGTGGCAGGATCAGATGGGTAAATGGATGCCTTGATCTCAGACTAAGAATCAGAAAGGATTTTTTTTTTCCTTCGCTTCCCTCTGTGCGGGGCAACTGTGAGGAGGCAGACGCGTGTGGCTGTGGCATGGATGTGTTCCGGGGGGTGTACGCAGATAAGCACGCCTAGCCGTGTGACTGCGTGCAGTCCCGTCTGTCTGCCTGTGTCACTGTTTTTTTGCTTGTGGGCTGGTTGCTCATCTTCAGATGCAATTTGTAATTATTAAATAACACCAGCTTTACCCTTTTCTCTTCCTGGAAACCGATTCTCTTGGCTGTAGATTGCAGGTGAGCTGCTGGGATTGTTCTTGGGCAGTCAGGTCATCCCCTCTGGCCTGTACCCTGGCAGTGCTCTTGGCAGGTATGGGCAGCCCCAAAAACCTTTCATGACCATAAATAGTTTGGATGTTTACTCATACCTATTGCCCTTTAAATTCTGTCAGGCGGTGCTGGAATATACCCCTAAGATGTACTTGGCTGTAGCGCATTACGTGTGAAATAGGTACTTTATCTTAAATACAGATTGTGAACCAGAACACTTGGATGGCACATCCGGTCTGTAAGAGTTGGGTTATTTTGGAGAGCTGTTGCAACGTGGTGATCCACCCCCATGGGAAGCTCTGGGGACTGTCCGTTTGAACAAGTTTAGCTCTGCCTGTGTTGGCAGTGGTCTGCTCGGTGGCTTGGAGCGGGGAAGGGAGAGAGAGATGAGCTCATGACCTGCCAGTCTGGGGGTTTGGAGCGTTCCCCAGGCTGCGGGAGGAGGACTGGAAACAGCAACCTCAGCTGGGCAGGTCTGGCTGTTTTACTGCCTCTTGTGTGGGTATATACGTGTTGAGGCATCTTTTCCCTCGAAAGCAATGTGGCTCTGGTTCCATTGAGGAACCGAGAGAATTAAAAGCTGTGAGGTTGGGGTGTTTTATGCCAAGCTTGGCTGGCAGATCAATCTGTAAAGGTTATGCTCTGTAAAACACTTTATTTCTTGCATTTTGAGAATTTAAATTGTGGAATAATCTTATCTTACTGTACGTTTTTTGTTTTGTTCCAGTGAAGCCAAGAGGCTGGAGTTGGAACGAAAACTGATGGAATACAGGAAGTCCGATGCGTACCTGTAAGCCTGCTTGGAAGCTTCTTATAGGTTGTTTTATTGTAGTGACAAAGGCTCAGGTATCATGGGATGCTTTTAGAATGTTATCTGAAGGTTTGTGGAAACAAAATAATTGTGTTTATATGTTAATTATAACATAAGATTTGTGTTGCTTTTATTGAGTAACTTCAGCAATAACATAATGAACTTATTGTATTAATACAAAAGTTTTATTGGTCAGTGATAACTAACATTCAAGTTGGTTTTATGGAACGTGTATGAAACCACTGTAGCACAGTGCATGCTGGAAAGTCCAAGGGTCTTCAAGTCTGAAGTTTTAGGGAGCCCTAGTGGGCATTGTAGGCTCTGGTCCTGCTCCCTGGATTGTTTCTGCACACTTAGTGCATTATACAGTCTGTAAAACAAATTAAAACCAACCCCACAAACCCCCAAAAAACTAGACAACAAACCCCAACAACAAAAGGGACCGAAAAACCTCACCCCCTGTTCCTTCCTCAGCAGTGTCTCGTGAAGCTCAGCGGTGTCTGCTCTGCCCTGGCTCAAGGGACCGAGGGCTGGCTGCCACTGTAGGTTTGAAAAAAATGATGTAAATTAAAGGAAGAAAAGCCTGAATAGGTGGGGAAACATCACATGTGCTTTGTTTTCTGTTTGTATTTGATCTATTCTAACCCTGCTGATGTTTCTCTGAAAACACTGGCACTGTCGGGGACTGCGGTTGCAATTTCCCAGCTGACCGAAGTAGACCTGTAGGCAGATGGAGACCAAAAGATGCTCCCGACTGCTCCTGGTTCTCGCTTTCCCCTTGCTGGTGCTACAGCTTGTGTGGCTGCCCCACAATCAGATAAGGAACTGGGTCAGGCTGGAAGTCAATCCGTGTTTTGGGTGGGTGGGAAACTGCTTTGGGTTGATTTTCAGCTGGGTTGCTCTTGGCCTAATTTGCCATACGGCCGCATAGCAGCCGGTGCTGGCACAAAACCGAAAGGCTTGGGGCGTGCTGCCCCTTTGAATGCCAACCCCCCGGTTTAAAGCCGGCGTTGCGTGGCAGACACCGTAGCAGCTGGATAGTGTAGCTGTGTACTGTTGTGCAGAGGAACGTCCCCTCTTGGGGGGACGGGGGCAGGTCCTGCGGAGGTGTTTGTGTGTACGTGCCTGAAGCAAAGCGGTTGTGATTGGTGTGGGGGGTGGTTTAATTTCACACTCTTTAAGTACCGCTTCATTTTCCCCTGCAGAATGAAACTAAAATACATGAAGCTGAAAAAATACTTGGAAGAGATCGGTGAGCGACAAAAAGGAGCTTTTCTGCGAAACCAGATGTTTCTGAGGGAATTCGATCGATTTGAAGCTCATATGAGGACTTCAAGCTCCGCTATGATTCAGAAGATGGAAGTAACTTTCTATAAGACTTTGTTAGCGTTCACTGTTCTTACAGGGTTGTTAACCCAGGTTTGTGTGAGCGGTATGTGTGCCAAGGCTTCAGGTGCAGTGAAACCCCAGTGAGTATTTTGGAGTGCGTGCAGTGGTAATGGTTGAACTGGAAGTCTTATTACTTAAAACTACCCACGTGTTTTTCATGGAAGCTGTTTCAGGGGTGTATTTCTAATTTTGTGGGTGGGAACACCCCAAATAGGCACAGTCAGGCCCTGCTTATTGCTTTGCCTTCAGCAGCAGAGGAAGTGTGAGAGTACGTACCCTCTGTTGGAGCAGGTTGAGCCATCTGGGCTCAGGCCGAGCTCAGTGGGGTCCCCTTGGGTGACTGTCGCGTAGTAGAGTAGCAATGCTTGAATGGTGAGAAGTGGAAAGAACTACTTCCTCCAGCATCGCATCGCTCGGGCCTTTGCTCTTGGTACCGTTTCTGCATGTGCTTGGAGACTGGATCCAGCTGCCCTAAGAGGTGGAAGCTTTGAACTCCCCCTCCGGGCTAGTCAAGCAAAGCCCAAGTCGCGTTTCACTGCAGCTGGCCTTGTGACGGAGGCAGCGGGAGCGCAGTAGCACCAAATGCCTACGTTAGAAGCCGATACCTGATGGAACACGCTTCTGGCTGTCTTGGTAGTGCCTTTGCTGTCCGAGACACCCATGGACGTGCTGCTTCTCCTTTCTTCGCTCACGGCCTCGACGGCGGTCGGCTCCGAGGTCTGCATTTGCGAAGGGGTTACTACTGACCTCGCTGTCAGCGGTTTGAGAGCTCGTGTGGGGATGTATTATGTGTGTGAAGGAGAGTGTCAAGCCAATATGTGCCCCTTCTGGTTTTGAAGGGTTGATTTCTTAAAAATCACCACAACAGGTAGAAAACACATGTAGTTGTAGTTTAAAAGAGGGAGTAAAAGCTGTGAGGAGGACAGATGAAAGTGGCCGTTGAGCAGCTGCGTGAGCCACCCTCTGCTCTTTGCTCTGCCTGTTTTGGCTGTTGTGGTCTGCAATTCTCCATGTGGAAACAGCTGTCAGAAGTCAGCCTGACGTTTGCTTTGTGGAGAAAAGCATCTGCGTCCTGGCAGGCCCTTACTGGGGGCTCTCTTGCCACGATAGGTCGAACTGGTCACGGGATGGGGATTTCTATACCTCTGGTGTGTGGTCATTGTGCCTTAAGATCTTGAGGGAGTGTGGGAGAAAAGACAGAAGTTGTGGAAGTAAAAATCCATTTGTCGTATTTGTGTTGAGATGCAAAGTTCAGTTACCACCAGGTCTCAATTACTGTGGCTTCGTTTCGTGCTGAGGTGAAACTTGATGCTTCTCTTAATATTCCAGTTTTTCAGACCCTCTGCTGCAAATGTGAACTGACTTTCTGCTGTTCCTGTTTAGCCCTGCTGGGGTAAATGGCTTCAGTCTTTCCCTTACAGTTGGTTATCCATCAGCAATGCTGTTTGTAGCGTGAGGAGTTAGTTAGTGTTGCTCTTTCATTAGTGCAGAAAGGTGAAACTCTTCTGTACTAATGAAGGGATTGCTGCATGTCTTAGTTTGCAACAATCTTGATCTATATTTAAGGTAACATGATAGATGGGATGGTTTATATTGTACCTCCTGACTGAAGTACTTCCAGTTTCATTGGCTGCTATAAGAAACAGCCAGCCTTTGAGGGCTTTGGAATCGTGTTATTAACACATTGTCTTGCTATTTGCTCAGCCAGCCTTTGAGGGCTTTGGAATTGTGTTATTAACACATTGTCTTGCTGTTTGCTTAAGAACACCGGGGTGGGTGTTGCGGAGTGATTTACAGCTTTGCACTCACTTTGTACCTTGGCTACAAACAACACAACACCCCACCCCATCCCCTCCCCCCCAAATTCATTGGTTGTAAGCCGGTTGTCTTTGGTTTCACTCAAGACCTCACCTTTTGTGGCTGAGCAGCAGCGACCGGTGGCAGTCAATCCCCATCCAAACAGAGCACAGGGCCAGCCAGTGTCCTGCGGTTGCAAGCCCATGTTGATAAATTCCTCGTGCCACTACAGCCCAGCTACTGCCTGGCAATTCCCTGAAGCCCCTCTGCTCCAGTGACAGCCACAGGGCATCTTTCCCTTGCTCCAGCTGCGCTTTACGGGCTGTCCCTCAGGGTAACGTAAAGCAGAGCAGGACCAGGGGGTATGAAGCCATGCTGGGCTTCCCCTCTTATTTTTCTGAGCAACCCCAGTGCCCACCAGTTGGAGCAGTGGTAGGTGTTATACTGGTGCCAGTTGCAATCGTGCTGTGGGTTCATCTGGGTGCCAGGTTTTCCTCCGTTGCTCCCATCTTGATGTTTCCACTCCATCCATTTTATTTTTGCCAGGTTGGACTTTGTTTTCCTGAGCTGCCAAAGCACGGATTATGCACCCTCTGCAGTTCAGCTACGAACAGCCCCTTGGTGTGGATGGCAGAAGAATTGCCGAGCGTGTGATTGTTTAATCTAGCGTGGAAGCACGCAGGAAGAAATTACTGCTATTTTGGGGTTTTTCATAGGGAACGCCCATTAGGAGTCCTTTATCGTAACTATATGTGCAATTTATTACATGGCTGTAGCTGACAAAACTTTTGTTTCTCAGAAATTCACTTATTTTCCCTGTGCTGCTGTGTCTGCGTTGGTGCAGGAATTTTTGGAAATACAAGTAAATTGACTTGAGCTTTCAGGAACACCCGCCTGTTACATTTGACTCTATTTTGAGCAACTTCAGTTCTCGTGCAGTTACTTGTTTGGGTTTGGGTTTTTTTTTTCCCCTTTAAAATGTCGTTTGGCACTTCAGGAGCAGCTCCTGTTACCTGGGAAGCGCTGAGTGCCCCACTGGGGCGAAGCGTGGGGCTGGCCAAGTTAACTGGTTCAGGGCTGTGTTCCCTGACACAGAATAGGTGCTGCAGTGCTTTCAGTCAGGCCCGCTGTAACTTGCTGGGGTTTACAGTTCCCAACAGGATTAGAGGCGTTGCGGGCGGGTGGCTTTTAAGCAGTAGCCCCGCGAGGGGTGCGTTACGTTTGGTCAGTTAAACGCCGTGGCGGAGGTGAGGACGGCGTGTGCGTCATTTCGGTAACGTGGCAGTGAGTTGCCTTTCGTGCTGGGCTGCTCTTGGTAACATCTGCCGTATATTTTTCCTTCCGCTAGCTCAGCAAGTCAGGAGGTGACGTCCCTAAAGCACGTTCTGCAGCTCCTTTCCTCGGCTGGGGGCAGCGGAAATGATTTGGTGTTACGAATATGAGTCGGGATGAAATAAACTTGAGGCAACAGGTGGTTGTGGTTTGCAGGTTGCTGAATTATGTGCACGTGTGTTAAAAACCCATACAAACGCGGCGTTTGTTCAGGGGAGCAGAGAAATGAGGAGAGGAAGGGATGTCTGGCTTCTTAAGTACTGCCCAAGTGAAAAATGCTGCTGGGATGTTACGTTTAAAAGTGCACCATGTGCACAGTTATGGTAGATTTGGGGGGGGCGGTTCTGGCTTTCAATTTTACGTAATGGGTTTGTTCACATTTAGGCGTGGTACAGAAGAGAAATGAGAAGCGTGTTATCCCCTCAAGAGCGTAACGTGTCAGCAGAAGGTGCCAAGGCTGAAGAACACGCTGAGCAGGTAACTGGAAGGAGGTGGGGGGGGTGTTTCGTTACGCTGACACACTTCCCTCCCAGCCGCCGTGCGAGGAGGCAGCCGCTGTGTGGGGGTTTTCCTTGTGGTGTGAGACATGGTTTAGTGCCTGAGTGAAGTAGCATAACCTTGGCAAAACGTGCGGTTGTTTCAACTGCAGCACTGGGATTAAAAAGCAGGGAGAACTCCGTTTGTGGTCATCTTCGTGCTGGTTTTTGCAGTTCCTGTGCTGAATTGTGTGAAAACGGTCTTGATGGAGGAGGGAATGCTGTTACTGAGCGGTGTTTGTAAAACTGCCGCAGCCGCTTCGTACGCTGTGTTTCTAATTTTGTGCGTTTTGACCTCTTTCTCAGAAGAAGCAACAAGATTGCGCATCCAAGTAACAGACAAAAAGACTGCCAAGGAATACTTCAATGTATTCTGCTGTATATCTGCAGTAATGCAGGCTCCTAATCCCTCCTCCTATCTCCATATAAATGATACAGTTCAAGACCATAGCTGTTTTCTTCACTAAAAGCAGTAAAGCTCTTTCAGATGAAATGTCTAAAAACATCTTGTAATAACTTGGAGCGTGCTGGCAAGAGTAGTCACTTGTGACTATGTGTGAAACCCCCTCAGCCTGCCGATATTGTAATGAGCCCGGCCGGCCGCCTCGCTCCGTTATTCAGAGGAGCCAACAGCGTGCTTGTCCCTTAGGCTACAGCATTCATTAAGGGAAGCTTACTGGGCTGAAAGCTGGGAACAGATGATAACGGGATATGATTTTCATATTTAATGCATTCCTTGGAAGAGTATGTGTGCTGCAGATTGATAGAAGAATCAACTGCTACTTTACTGAAAGACTTTCTAGTTTGCCCTATAGCTACCGATGGAATCATTCAGCCAAGAAATTAACTTCTTCTCCTTTTACCTGCTTTCTACATCTGCTAAGCAGGCTGCCTGCCTGCCAGTAAATGTTATTATGCAGTTAAATGTTGGGTATTTAAGACTCTTATCAGAAAAGAAACAGAGGCCACACTATTTTGTTTTTATAGTGGGAGGAAGGTTTTCGGGTTTCTTTCTTCAGTGCATTAGCAGGCGTTAATCTGAGTTTATAGGAAGTTTTCCCCATAGATTAAAAAGTTAAAAACCTTGAATTTAGAGCATTCTTTAAACTGTAACATACAAAGCAATGAACCCGAGCAACCTTGACCTATAGAAGCAGGCCTCTGGCAGTTTGCGAATTACATGTCTAATTCAGACATGCGTGAGGTGAGTTGGCTTTCAGATGCCGGAGTCTCCAGTTAAAAGCAGTCGGTGTAGGGATGAGGTTTCTAACCTATGGAAAAGTTTAGGTAAATAGGAGAACATCAGAGGCTCATGGTGTGACTTGGGCTTTTAAAAACCACCAGCAGGCTTTGGGCAGTGCAAGAGCTTGGTGCGTACCCAAATATATCATTTTTGTTGGGTTATAGTTAATGGCTTGGGTGCGGGCTCCTTCCTCCTCTGTCCCCTTCTTTCTCTTTCCTGTCTCCCTCCCTAAATACCAAGGTAACTTCAGCTAAACAGATATGGCAAAAGGATGTGCTGTGTCTTAGATCTTGCTCTAACCCCATTTATTTTTGGACCGATTGTCTCTGTTTCACAACACCTTCACCTCACTTAAAATCCAGAATATGGGCGTTTGCTGTTGGCATGGTGTCGCCAAGTCCGTCATGGTGAGCACGTGTGGTTAGCAGGGAGGTACATCCCAGAAGCAAGCTGTTAGGGCTTGGGACTGGTTTTCTTTACCAGCACTGGTACCGTAGTGGTTTCCTTCAGGTCAGTCAGGATGCCAGTGATCGCGTGATAACCAGGTCAGCGACGCATCTTGGAGACCAAACAGGACAGTCACAGAACCAATCTTCTGGAGGTATCTGGTATCCCAATGCCCCTAACTCCTCACTAGTGTGAGGATCTGGTGCTCTGAGCCATGGGATATGCACCCTGTTGGACTCCCAGTTTGCAGGGAGTCCTTAAGCTCAGAAATCAGTGTCCCCAAACAGTGATTGTCTAGAAAAGCCATGATTCTCCAGGGAAAGGACTTGTAGCACCGGGATGCTGTTACACTGGGCTCCAGAAGGCCAGGGCTCGAGTCGAAGTGGGGGTCCTCCTCGGCTGGTTTCGGTAGGTCACCCACACGGTGTTACTGGTTTGCTTTTGGTGGTAAAACCAGTGCCTAAGCCAACGTTACCTGTCACACGTGAGCTTTGCAGGTACAAAGAGATGATGTTTTTCTGCAGTCGGAGGAGCTTGGAAGAGATGCGTGTCTGCTGCGACACTGCCAAGCACTTGTACCTGTTTGAGTTGCATTTGTTTTGGAACGCTACACCTAGGAGCTGCTGAATCTGGGAAGTACTTGCTGGATGCACGTTTGAAAGCAGCAAATCCAAGGCCCAAAAAGTAATTAGGAGGAACCTGAGAGCAACGGTGATGGAATAAGCTGTGAACTTAATCTGAGTAGCAAACCTTTCCTCCTCCTTAAAATAACTTCATGGCTTTTTTGTTCTGCTTCTCGTTATGTGGAATTTGAGCTTTTTTAATGAAACTGGGTCACAGGCTAGACAAGATGCCTTTGTTCCTTTTCAGCTGGGCTTGGCAGCTGACTTTGTATGGTAGGAAGAGGTCAGGCAGTGAAAGAGAGGAGAGGGGTGTGGAGGTGACTGTAAATTGTCCCGCTGCGGTTCGTGGCTGAGAAGTAAGCCCTGCTTAGTAGGAACAATGGCATTACGATAGCTAATTTGGGCTTTGCATAAACTGGCGGTGACCTCTGAGTAGTAGTGGTGGCAGTAGCCCCTCCTCTGAAATTGTTCTGACTGAGGAGGCTTACAAAGAGAAGGCAGCAAGGATGGAAACACTGGGGTTTAGCAGCGGAGCGGTTAGACTGTTGCGCCTGGTTTTATGCAAGTTCAGTGGTTCTTGGAGCAAAGCGCTATTTAAAACATTTCTGCTGGGTGCCCAATGATGCCTTGTGGAAAACACGATTTCACCCACGTTCTTCCTCTTTAGCAGGATTTTAAGAGTTGGGAAAGAGCCGAAGGGAGACAGTGAATAAAGTGGGTTTTGCGTCATTTCCCTTGTTGACGTGCTGTGAGCAAAGCTGGATACGTGGACAAGTGATGGTAGATGTACGTGTCAAACTCTCTGGGGACCTTCCCTTATCCCGCTGCCTTCCAAGGGAAGACGATGCAGCAGGAAGAGGTTGCTGGGCTTCCGGAAGGCCGGCCGTACCACAGACACAGCAGCGAGCTCCTGAGCTCCAGGGCACGGCGGTACCTGAACCACGGGCTGTACAGTCACACATCTCCAGTGCAGCCCGTAATCTCGAGGTGTTCGCAGTGGGTAGCGCTAAACCTCATGCTTCAGTCCGGGGCCTTAACAGGCCTTGCAGGAATCGAATACTCAAAGTCTGCCTGTTTGTAACAGACAGGAACTATTGGGTTAACTTGTGGCCTCAGTTTCTTTCAGTCCCTTGGAGTTGGGTTGGGGCGCAGGGTGCTTTTGGCACTGGTTGTTTCAGCTCACAGAGCTTCAGTTGAAGTAGAAGATACTCAAATACTGCGACAATTTTTACTCTAGGCAATCCTTTAGAAGCCTCATTTGTGACATACCGCCTGTTTGTTTCCTCATGCCATCTCCCCCCTCACTTTGTTTTCCAGCTGTCACGGGTTGCGAGACCCACAGGGATCGGCACCAGGAAAGCCTTGCCCAGAGGACTGGATCATCCAGCAAAGACCTTTATAGGCCGCCACGCATCAGCCACTGGAGATTTGGGCACGCAGGAACACCCCCAGCCCACGGAGAGCTGCTCAGTGCCCGACCTGCCTTCACTCTCTCCATCCCGCGAAGGAGCCAGTCCAGAGAGTGGCAGTGCTGATCTAGAGAGGGATGCATTGGTGGAGGGAGCAGTGAGGCACGGGGACCTGGCTGCCAGCAAGGAGGGCTCAGAGCGGCTTGTCTCCTCAGCACCTGGTCCCAAACCAGACACCCCTGAGGAGGAAGGGCTGCAGGGAAGCATCCCAGGTACAGCAGGGGATGTGCCTGGTGCTGGGGTATCCTCCTCCCAACCAGGGTGATGCTCACAGCTCCTGGTTTCCCCTGTGGTGTCACTCTTTTGGGTCTCTCCTGAGAAAGGTGGTGCAGACCCTCCCAGCCGAGATGCTCTGGCCCTGGGATCGGATGTGTTGCCCTGAAGGGGCTGCGTTCCAGCCTCATTCCTTTTTTTATTTCTCATCATCTTGGCAAAATGAGCTCTCTCCTGTTTTAGTGGCTTGGTCGGTGACTTTGAAGCAAGCTCACAGATTTGGTTTTAAAGTTGAAGACCTTGCAGAAACACTCTCCCCTGCCTGTCCAGTTCATGTGGCAATTTTTGACTCAAACTGGTTTTCCAGGCCTCAGAACAAGTGCTGAGAGGGAGCTGTTTGTGATGGAAAGCAGAGGCAGCCCTAACAATGCAGAGACTCCTGCCTTCCCATAAGGATTGGAGAGGGAAGCTGGCATCCCTGTCAGATGCTCCTCTTGGGAGTTTTTCTGCCATCCTCTTTCTTGTTTTTTTTTTTCCCCATTCCCTTTCTCTAAGAAATCTCTTTACCTCTTATTTTCTTTCATCTGATGCATTTGCCGCTTCTCTGTTTTAATAAAGTCCTGTCCATACTGGCACTGGAAGGAGACGGTCCAGCCTGGCTTAGGCTGGCCCTGGGCTCTGCAGAGCTGCTTCCTCCCCACGGGGGAAGGCTGAGGTGGCCAGCGCTGTGCCTGGGAAAGAAATCCCCGTTTAATTTCTGGAAGGCTGTATCTCTGCCTTCATAGGGGCTGTTGCGTTGTGCTCCAACTCAAAATGAGCTTTGTCAGGCGGCACGGTAATCACCTTGGAGCGTCCAGGGGGATTTTCGTGTCTGTCTGCTGCGAAGGGAACAGGCTTGTGTGGTCCAGGCTGGAATGCATGGAGGGGACTGGCTCGTTCCAGCTCCAAGGTTGACCTTCCATGGTAGCCCATGGAGATGCTTGGCTGTGCCACATCAGGAGTGAGCACGTGCTGGGCTCCGCTGCCAGCTTGGTGCGGAGCAGCACTCACCAGCCTCTCCTGCTGCTCCCTGCTAACCAGCATTAGCAGGTGCATGGATGCTGGGTAGTTCAAACCCAGGGGGAAATTCATGGAAAACGGGGGAATTCTGTAACAATACAGATTGGTTACAGCACTAGCTGCTCTGTTATCTTGGCACAGAATGCCAGAAGTTAAGTAGCATGTATCTTCCCTTGTAGAAGCATGATTCAGCCCTGCACTCCCCTCGTTTAGGGAAGGCAATTCACTTGTGGAGTTTAAAAGCCTCCAGAGATGTATTTCTTCTGCAGGGTTTAAAAAACATGGAGGGTAGTAGCCTCTTCAGGTGCTCTTTCTTCCTCTAAGAAAGGCTTTTCCCAGCTTTTCTGTTTCATCATTCCTCCAGGGATGCTTTAGCAAAGTAGCTGGTCTTCCTGCTGGTGATGGTTTTTGAGCAGTGCTGGGTTTACGTCCTGCCTGCTGGGAGCTGCTGAAAGGCCTGAGCATGGAGGCTGGAGCCTCCCCAGACTCCCCCTTGCGAGAGGAGCGTGGAAGGACACGGGGTGGTGGGCAGGAAAACCCTGTGGAGTGGGAGGTGCACAAACAGCGTGGCTACTCTTGGCTTAATTCTCTACGCCAGGATGTACTCCTTGATCCTGCTAATGCTTTGGGAATTATTATATTGGTATTATTTCTTTTTCCAGCACCAAAACCTCGCCTGAGTAACTGGTGGACTAAGGAGGGGAGCTGGGAGAGCAGTGCTGAGCTGCTAGTCCCCGTGAGCCCCAAAGAGGTGACGCCGAGCACTCCCCACGTGCCACAGGGAACAGCCTCACCAGCAGCCGACTGGGAGCAGGACAGGGATGCCCATGCCACGGAAGTCTCCCCACTGCGACCGCCAAGCCCTCCCATAGTGCTGGAGGAGCCCTCGCTCAGCTCAGCACCGGACGGGTATGTCCTCGCATGTTTTCTCTCCCTGGGAACCACTTTCACGTCTTGGCACTAAACCTCACATGTGGGTGGGCAAGCTCCTTGCTTATTTGGGATCTCGCCACCTCTGTGCCAGAGGTGAAATGTCTTCGGGCAACTCCTTCAGGTCACGCTTGGAGAAGGTAAGTAAACGTGGTGTTTATTAAATGTAAACAAGTCTTATGCCAACAAGTTTATTTAATAGTACCTGTAACTCACTACGTGGCATGTTGTGTGGATTAAAATTTCCAGTCAGATAAATAGATTGAGTGTCTTGTTTGGAAATAGTAGAGAGAATGCGGAAAGCGCAGTGCAGACACGTGGTTTATCCTTTGTAACCACATGAAAGCAGCAGGGGTTTGCTGCCAACGGCTGCTGTGCCAGACTGTCAGCCATGATGGGTTTTTGGCTTTGCTGTGCCCAATTAAGGCAGGGAAGTGCTTCCTGGTGGGGAAATGCCAACTATGAGATGGCCTACTGCACTTGCCCAGGCAAGGGAGGGCTGACTTTGCTCCCTCACAGTGCTACAACAGCCCCATGCTGTCTTCCTGCACTCCCACCTCATCGTACCCACCACTGCAGGAGCATCCCCCCACTTTCACCTCCCGTCCCTTACTTCCCAAAGTCCGTTTGCGGCCAGTTCCCTCTGCAGCCCTCCATGTCATCCTTCACCTGCTGCTTTGATCCCCAACTTGGTGCCCTACGGCTGCCACCTTTCTGCCCACTCTCCTTTAGCCGCATGCCTCTGTTTCCTTGTCCTCTGTGTCCTCCCCACCAGTGTTTTCCTGCCCCACTCACAATAGAAGCATTACAGATGGCCCCTTTTGCAGGCGTGCACTGTATTCCAGGGGTGCTGCTCCCCTTGGATCTCCCACCATGTGCAGGCACTGCTGGCCGGTGGGATGCAGGGAGGTGAGGTGGTGGCTGCACGCTGGGGAGAGACAGTGTGTGGAAGAAACCAGCGGTTCTGGTTGTTTGCAGGTTTTTAATCTGCTTCGCGCACCTTTTCTTCCCCCATTAGTGTTCTCTTGGGTCTGGATTTCACTATTGGTTTGCGTCTCAGCAGGTGACAGCTGAGCAGAAACTGGTGGCCATCAATATACACCTCTGTAACTTTATCGTTGCACATTTGCATCAGCCTGTTGCTCCCTGCGGAAACATGGTCTAATTTACATCTAAATAGCTTTTCCCTCAGTTTTATTTTCCTACAACACCTGTTGGTGGTGAGGCTTTGTCAGGGGATTTAGGGAGTACCTGCCTCTTGCTAGAGAAGTCAGAGCTGAGCACTGGGAGTTTAACCTGTCCTGCTCTCCCCGTTGCTGTCAAAGCCCAGCTGAATTACACGGAAGGTTTCACTGCCCGCGTTATCCCCTGAGCACGACCGAGGCCACGACATGGAGGCTTCTTTTGCCAAGCTGTGCCTCTGTTCCTCAAGGCCATGCGAGGGGGATAACCACCGTTGGCTGTTCCTGTGGAGAGGGTAGAAATGTTTATTTGTTCTACCTGAAAATTGAAACGCAGATACAGTTAAAAAGATGACAGGCATGAAATGTCTCCATGAGGAGCAGCCTCTCCGAGTCTGTCTTGCCAATGCATGTGAGCTTCAGCCTGCATGCTTGAGTCTTGCAAGGTAATTTGTGGGCTGAAAATCTTGGGGGAAAGCTCCTAGGCTGTTGGTACAGGAATTCCAGTTACCCAAGCCACATGAAAACAACTCTTTTTGGTCTGAATATGTTGTGCTACTGGTTCACAAGAGGAATAATATCACAGGGCTTGCACTGTCCCTTCGGTCTGTATTTTGTCATAGAAAATTCCCATGCTGGCTGAAGAAATGTGCTGAAATCATGCAAAACTACACATATCTGTAGTCTCAGGCAGAAATACCTGCAGCTTGGGCTTCCCCAGTGCAGCCATGTCGCTGCTGCGGCATCCGGATGAGGAGCCGATTTCCCCCCGTCGTTTTGTGGCCATTCGTACGCTGTTGGTGTGATGTTTGATATTGGCACAAGTGCTGGAGTTGGAAGGAGGCGCAGCTGTTTTTTCCGCTCGAGTCTGCAGCCTGGGAGCCTGCTGGGGTTGTGCCTTGTTGGGGTGGTGCCGTAGGGGCACCGGATCCCTCTCCCACTGGGTGAAGCCACCCGATAGCCCCACGTATCAGCTGCTTGTTGCCAGTCTGAGCTGCTGACCCCGAGGTGAAAGGCTCTGTATCCTCTTACCATTCCTTACAGCACCCGGCCCATTCTTTGAGGGCTTAAACCCGGGGAGTGTTGGGGGGAGAGAGGGTTCTCTGAGAATTAGCGTGGAGAAAGATGATGACTGTTTTAAGGCCTGTGCTGAGGGGGTGGAAAAAGGCAGAGCTTATGCCTGTGCTGCTTCAGCTGCATTGAAGAGGACTTAGCACAGATGGATTGTGCATTACAAAATGTAACACATAATTCAAGCTGTCAGCTTAATCAGACTGTTTCCAGGAAGCAACCTGTAAAAGAGAAGGACCTCTTGTTTGCTGACCCCTGATCCGTAGCCTGCTGCAGATTGTCATACATTTTGTTTTTCTTTATGTTGGTGTCCCTTCCTTCCCCTTCTCTTTTTATTATTGTATCCCTCTCGAGTGGCACCCTGGAAGGACCACCCAGCGGGAGGAAAACAATGGGAAAGGAGCCAGCCGCTAAAATAGAGGGTTTGTTAGACAGGGTTTGTTAGACAGGGAAAGAAAAAGCACTGTTTAACTGCATATGTGATCTCCCTGGCATTGTTTTGCTTATTAAATGCCTAGGAAACTCGGCTAAATGTGCAGCAGCTCCCACTTAATTGTTTGCTGTTGCCCAACAGTCCAGCAGGAAAAACGGCTTTGGGCACAGCTTAACTCGGTGGCAAAGGTGGTGCGAGGTGTGGTGCGCAGTGCTGTTGCGTTGAGGTTGGCTGTGTAAACGTGCCAGCTTCTACCTACCGGGCAAGAATACACCGTGCTTCTGCCTGTGGGGCTCTGTGGGCCGGGCCTGGCTGGGGCAGTGCTGGGGGGGTCTGGCCTTGGCCATGTGTCCCACTGGGAATAACCATTTACACCCCAGTTCGAGGATTAGCCTGCTGCATTGTTTCAGTGTTTAAGTCCTCATTTGCATCATTATAGAGGTGCAGCTTCATCACACCCTCCCTGGTGACCACCTACAGGTAGGGGGACATAGCCGGGACCCCAGATTCATTTAGGTTGTGGAGGTGATGGCATTCCAGTGCAGCCTCTCAGCCCTGGCTGATTTTTGGATGGTTTGTTTGCTCATGTGCTTTTTTCCTTTCTCCAGAGCTCAAGCAACGTGTCTTTCTTGCTGTTGTTTGCTGTGAAAGCCTAAGATGAGGGTGTGTATTTTTCCAACTGCCGCCATGGGAATGCGCTTAAACTACTTGTCGCACTCTGGTCGCTACAAGCCCCGTTTGCTGTCCATCCGCGGGCACCGCGGGGTGCTGGCAGGACTCTCCTGTGCCCTGCAATTGATAGAACAGGCGGTGAGGACGAGCCCCCGGCGGCAGGGGCTGTACCAGGGCAAGCACACGGGGACGATGGGGGCGGCGGAGCTGCTCAGGTCAGTGCTGCTCCCGCCGCCCTCACAGAGCAGGCAGGAGCCGGGGAGGAGTGCAGCGCTGCCCCATCCACCGTATTCCCATTTGCCTGCTGCCGCACGTCCAGCATAACGCTTGGAGTAACTTTGTTTACGCGCTTGGAACTGAATTCAGGCGAGCGACGGCGAGAGGCTGTTACCCAGCAGCTTTGCAGGAGCCCATTGAGATGTGAGCCGGGGGTCCTCGCTTGGGCGGTGACAAATGGCCGGTGCGAAGAGCAGACGGACTCCTGCAAACAAACACTGCCGGTTGCTAAGAGGCCTCTGTCCCCTTCCACTGCGTTAATGTCACCGGAGAGCTGAAATATGGCCCTCACAATCGTGCACCCAAATTTCTCCAACAAACACTTTCTGATGTGTAGCACTTTCTGCAGCCTCGCTCTGCAGGTCCTTTAGGTGAAGCAAATACTTAATTTCCAAGAACGAGAGCATCCACTTAGCCTGTAACACTGATGTGGTTTGCTGAGGTAGACAATCCAAATGAGAAAAATAGTTTCTTGGAGGTAACAGAGCAAAGGGAATTGCTGAAACCCACGTGTTAAAACAGGAGGCAGAGCACCCTCACTGCCCCTCCACAGCATGGGCTCTTAATTCCAAGAACTGGGAATGGCTTTGCGTTTTATTTGAAATGAAGTGTCAGTTTCCATAAGCCAGGATTCTCCAAAGCGCTCAGTGCTTTGAGGGTTTCTGGGGAATTAGGAGCAAGGGTTGCGAACCACTCTGGCCCTTCCAGCCACTGGGGATGGGTTCCTGGGACACGGTGGCTTTGGCCCTGGCTTGGCTGGGGCTGCCTGACATCTTGGTCAGCAGTTTCCCCGGGCGCGTGTGTGCATGTTCCTCGCTCTGTGTCAAAAAGCAACGGTGTGAGGTTAAACCTGTCCTGTGCTGAGTCTCTCACAGGGAACATCCTAGATGAGAGTCCCTCTGGGCTGTCCCAGCAGTTATCCCATTAGCCAGAAGGGTCACAGACGCTCTCTCCAAACTGCTGGCTGTCTGGGCTTTAGATAAATGTGGCATGTAACACTTGCTTTATTTTGTAGCTTTTGTGATGGGGCCGGCACTCTGAAAGAAAACCTTGAGGTATGCGAAGCAGTCGTCCTTCATCAGAGCGCGCCGAACGGATGCCTCCTGCCCGAGAAAATGCTCGATGCCGAAGGCAGAGTGGCGGAGAGGGAGGGAACCAGCTATCAAAGGTACAAAGCTCACGTGTAGGAGTGATTAACGTTCTTGTCTTCCCTGCCCAAGTCCGCTCTGCAGCCCTGGGGTGGAGAAAGCAGACCTGGGGCCAGACCTCCGGTGGCGCTGGAAGATAAAGACATGGGAGGGCTGATCTTGGCAGCAGTCGTGTGACTCGAAACGAGGGCGTTAAGCAAATTCGTTTATTTTCCCTCTCGTTCACTGAGGGGGAATCTCATTCCGCTGGGCAGTGCTCATGCTGGGTGCCCCCTCCTTGCTGAGTCTGCAGCATCTCCCACCCCCCGCAGGGAAGGAAGCGTATTAACTTCAGAGACCTCTTAGCCGGTAATTTCCGTGATCCTCAACAGGAGTATCAGGATGGGGAATGTCATTTTGAGAAGCAAATCGTTTTTCTGTGAGGCAGAAGATGCATATAGCCTTTATAAACAATAAACCGCCCTTATTCAAAATGGGCTTTTCTTTCCTGTGCGTGTGCCACAAGGACAAGTGAGAATTGATTTTTTTCTGTAGATCTCTTTAATACAGTAATGAAAACAATTTCCATTCTTCCTTACTTAGCTTCTGTCTAGACCTTCCTCCCTGCTACAGGCTCAGCAATGCTCAAGTGTTAGTGGGATCGGGGCACTTGGCGTGCTGAAGAATGGTCTATTTAACTATACCTGGTCCTCCTCGTGAGGCTGATACGCCTCCAGGCGCTAATACCTTCTTGTACTTCCTGAATGGTTTCTTAGGGACAAACACTCGTGGAGTTAATTGGAATTCACTCCTCTGTTTGTCAAACTTCATCGGAGCAACTGGAAAAAACTAACATCTTTGGCAGACAAGATTGCTGTGTTGATATTTTCTGTGCTAAAAGGCACTTTTGCTCAAAAATAATAGGAATTCGGGAAGGAAAGGCAAGCCTGGGGGTGCCCAGGCAGGGGGCTGCAGGATGGATTCACGGTCTCCTGACCCTGAGTCTCAGGACAGACGTGATGATGATCACTCCTGCCTTTGCACAAGTCCCTTGTGACTTACGTTTTCCACCTGGTATACTTTTTTTTTAAAAGAAAAAGTGGGGACTGGGACAAAATGTGCACTGGCTTTTCCCACTGTGTGTTGACTCTGCGCGTCTCGTGTCCGTGCGCTGTCCCGATAATGGTGCTCGCTTTCCTTTCCCAGGCCAGAGCAGCAGTGGGATGTGGATGCGCTGCGGACCCGCTTCGCCAGCCATGCCTTGCTCCTGAGAACACACGGGGCTCAGCTCCCGGAAGAAGCAGCGGCACTGTTTGACAGCCTGCAGGATCCCGGCGGAAAGGTGCTGGAGGACCAGGTTGGCGCTTACAGCTAATCATACCTAATCAGTGACACCCAGAGACTGATTAGCCCACTGGGGCTGCTGACGTGATCCAGTGGGAGCTCCAGGGGGAATGACACACAGTCTGGTCATTCACTGGCCCTGGGGACAGTGAGGAGGTGGGTAGGAGAGGATACAGCTTCTTTAGGTGTCTCAGGGCAGAGGCATAGAGGCACTTCATCCCCCGAAAAAGGTCTCCAGGAGGGGGGCTGCTTCCACCCTTCAAACCAGTTATTTATTTAAACACGTTCACATGTTTGCCGTGGGGTGAATTTATCACAAGGCTTGTCTCATCTGCCTTTCCCTGTGGCTTAATAGCTTTTTATCGTGAAGGATGTACTCTAGACTTTTCAGACAGTTATGTTTACACTGAATATGCAGAGCATTTGACAAACAGTAGCACCCTCGGGTTTTAAATGTTAACGCAAAAGGCTGTAAACTAACTCTTCCCCCAAAAAGTTGGCATTCAGTAGGCCTGTGAGTGCCCCGACCCCTTCTGCTGCAAACTCGGAGCAGACAGTGGCATGGGGAGAGCAGGTCTCTGATGCCTGTGGCCCTGCCGGGAGAGCCCAGCACCAGGGTGATATCAAGGCCATTGCCACCCTGCCCCTGTGGTGGGAAGTGGGAGGTCTGCCCGGCAGCCGGCCGGGAAGGAGCTGACCCCATGCTCTGCTCCAAAAGAAACTTACACCAACTCGGAGCTCGGGCTTCATGGGTGGATACACGCTGGGATAACCTGTTTATTGCTGCGTGTTACTGCGGCCCACGCAACACTTTTAACGTTTAGTTACCTATTAGGATCCAGTCAGTTAAACCCAGTGCTGGGATGCATCCCGGGATTTGAAACACCCTATTTCCAGGCAGGTTGCACGGATCAATGGGAATTACAGAGTGTGCAGGCACAGGAAGAGTTTCTGCACCCTAAGGCTGTGTATAATGTAGCAATGAATGCCTGAGCGATCTGCACCTACAGTTCTTCAATATTTCTGGCTCCAAAGCTTGAGGTTTTGGCCCATGTTGATGACTCCTTCTCTGAGGACTCAAAGTTCTGTTGGGAGCTCCCTGGATGATGGCACATTGACAAAATGAGACTTGAGATCCCCACTTCGGGATGAAGCAGCAGCTTGGTCGTGCTGGTTTTGGATGGAGACTTCCCACAAGCTTAATAGAAAGCTCCCCCAATGTTTTTCTATTTGCTTAATAGAAGTGAAGGGTTGCCATTCCAGGCTCCTGAATAAATACGGAGTAATGAGGAGGGGGCAGATGCAGGAGAACATGAATCCAAAACATCTTGGCTTGCAGGTCAGTACGTATCAAATAGGTTACAAACCTGGAGTTGTCGGAGATGTTAGTCCTCATTGCTGGAGGCTCATTTCACTGCACAATTAAATAATTAAAGCAGAGTAGGTAATTCTGTGCTACAAAATAAACACAGGAGGAACACAGAAGAAGAGATAGGAAGGATGCCCAAAACGCCTTTGCTCCTTGCGAAACAATGAATGCCGGGAAGGATGATTTCTCCATATGCAGTATCTAACACAGGGAGATGATAACTGGAAGGAGCGTCCTTTGTTTCCAGCTTGCTCTTAACTTGGCCACATGCACGGTATGTCCTGCTCCCTGTGAAAACACCAGCTTCCGACTTACTTGGTGTCAAGAATAGGTTCAGCTTTGGAATAGTGCTGCTGCAGACGGCCACTCATGCAGGCGGGAGAGAGCAAACCTTACGGATGTGCCACAGCAAGAGGGACTGCAGTCGGAACCAGGCCAGGGCTAGCTCAGGAAGCTGCGTGCTGGGTTCTCTGCCTTTATGTCATCGGTCTGGTGGTGTTGGGAGCTGCAGCTGGTGCTGGGGGTTAACCTGCCTGAAAGGGAGAGGTGTCTCTTCGGTCCGCTGCAGTGTGTTTGACACACCCTCCAGTTTTGTTCACCCTGGATGCCTCAGGCTGGGAGTTCTGAGAATTTCCATAAAACCTAAGGATTAAAGGAATCGTTTCAAGTTTGTGTTACTTCAAGGCAGAATGCAATTCCTGAGCTAGCACCCATTTTACCCAGGGATAACTAGCATCTTAACAAAACCACCCTGGAAACAGATTAGCCTAAATGTACATCGGAAAAAGCTCGCAACGAAGGATAACAGGGCTGTGGCTGTTCTTGTTTCATAATGCTGCAGGCTCTACCGACGTTGGGAGAGGTCCTTCTAGGAGACCATGTGGCGAGGTCACCTCCTCAGAGCAATGAATCGTCTTACAGCTCGCCGTTGATCCCAAACGGCGGCGGGGAAAGGAAGGAAGCAGAACGTGCTCCATGGCTCGCTGACACCGGAGAACAAGGTAACGAGTGTTTTAAAGGTCTGGCTGCACACTCAAAGGTACTGTTCCGCTCTGTGTCATCTGTCCAGATCCACAGGGGCCGTCCTGTAGTGTGTGGTGAATTGAGGTGGTTTTGTACTAAACTTTGGGAGGGGATTGCTAAATATCTCAGCAACGTGTGTCGTTCTTGTTACCTCCTAAAATAAGTGATACCTGTTGAGGTGAGGTTTTTCTGCAGGAATAGAAAAGCAAGCCATGGGGCCACTATTAGAACCAGCTCTGTCAGTGTGCGTGTGTTTTTAAAGGTGTCTGCTATTTAGAAATCATGGAATATAGTTGTTGCCTTTTATTCTAAAGCCAGACTATAGTAAACTTTCAAAACCAGCAGGGTTTGTGCTGAGAGGGGTGTGAGGGGCCATCTCAGGAGTGAAAACCCAGCTGATTCCATCAGATAAGGAAGTCATAGATTAGTTGGGTGTAATAATCGGCGATAGCAACTTGCTCACTCTGCTCTCGGAGCATCCCATACATCGGAAAGTCGGAAAGAGGCAGGCAATTAGGCCTCCTAAATTCCCGTGACTCTTATCTGCAGAGGAGATGGGGTCTTTGATTTAAACTCCTTTTCCACAGCCTGTGTGATATATGCTGCCAGAGGAGATCGCAGAGTTACCATAGGTTGCTTGTTTCCTAAATCCCATCGGGTCTTTGGTAATTTAAGACAGTTGGTTAGCTTGTCCTTTCCTCTGGAAGCTACAGAGAAGCAGGGCAGCCTCCAATGCCAGGAATGTTCACAGTAGGCGCCTCTTTCAAGAACGGTCATGGATAGTTTAGATCAATAAACAAGGGATAACGAAAGTGAGAAATTAAAGGGATTAGGGCTTGAAAGCAGCCGAACGGGTCTGATCGCTGCCACTTTGAAATGCGTTTCATTACGGCGCCTTCGCATCCAGAAGTCACAAGCTGGTGTGAAGATGAGAGCAAGAAAGGAAGCACGGCCGCAGAGATTCCCATTACAGGTAAAAGTAATGGCTGCATATTAACCTCGACTCCGCCGTTCGACTCGATTATGTAATCAAACCCTGGCATTTTAGTGGTTTGGGTCCACTAATAGTGAGTAAATTCAGCTACTACACACTGAGCGCAGAGATTAAACGAAAGATCATAAAGTCCCCGCTTACGTTAACATGAACCAAGATGGAAAATAACAGCGCCTATTTAATTCGTGTAATCATGTTACACGTTCAAACCGTGTGAATATCCTGTCATTTAGCCTTTCAGGTCCTGGTATCAGTGTTCCAAAGGTCAGTCTCCACGGGGAAGATCCAGTAATTATATGGCAAACTACAGATGTTGCTGATTTGATTCTTTTCTTTGCTCGAGTAATTGAATGTGTGTCATTAGAATAAGCGTAGGGAGAGCCCCGCCAGCCGGGAGGCTGTGCCGCTGCTACAACAGCCACCTGACAGCGCCGAATTTTTAGCGAGGAGGTTTGATCCCAGTGAGTTTGGAGCCTCCCACAGCAGAGGCGTGGGGCTTGCCCAGCATCCCGAGCTGCCTGTCGGGCTGGGGTTTCCATAACGCATCAGCATTCAGGGCAGGGCTCTTAATCTGCCTTGGCCTGGCTCTGTTGCGTGGCCGGCTGCTTCCCTGCAGACGTGGATGCTTGGCTGAACGTGTATTTATGCAGGGGCGTGCTCCGGCAGAAAGGTGCGAGGGCATCTGCTTATGCACTGCTCGCGGTTGCTTTTCTGCTCTTTTACGGCTTTGAAACAGCCTGTCTTCCCAAGAGCAATTCATTTCTCTACAGAGGTTTTTCCTCTGCAGCTTTTTGAGCCTAATTTGCAGCTGAAATATCAAAATGTGCTTCTCGTATTCCTGAATTATACTGCAGCAGTAATATTCCTGTGGTAGCCCAATAAAACTTTGATTTTATTTTTCCTACAGCAGACTGCTTTCCATCTTCCTGCTGCTTAAAATGTCCTTCAGCCACACACGGCAGCGTGTTTTAAAACCTGAAAAGTCAATGCAATTCATAAGAATTAAAAACCAATTAAACCTTTTTAATCAAACAAAACACTCATGCGAAAATTCCTCTAAAACTCTGTGAATCTTGGGATGGGTTTGATTTTGTATGTCATTTGAGAGGATCCAAATGTGAGGATGGGGGTTTTTAAGGAGAATACCTCTTCTTGAGTTTGGATCTCCACAGCTGCCAGTGCTTTTGCTCTGCTTCTCCCCACCCCGAATTTTGTGACTGTGCAGCACTGGCTTTAGCTGTGATTTGGCACCCAGATTTGTCAAGGAGCTCTCTAGTGTGGCTCTTCCTGCTGGGCACCCCGAGGGCCCATGAGGCTGGCTGCTGGTAGTGCCAGTGAGGCAAAAGCCAGGCCATGATGGATGTCCCCCTTCCCCGCCCCTCCTGCAGCTCACTTGCCGAGCGGGTGTGCAGGTATTAACCCTTCCTGTTTGAGAAGCTGCCGAGAACCTTCCAACCTGAGCATGGAGACCAGCAGCTGTGGATTACAATCCATTGGTTTCAAGCCTGCTCGATTTGCAGCTCCGTTGCGGCACATTTCCAGTAGCCAGTGCTCGCACAGTCTCTAGGAGTGAGGCTTTTCACATTTCACTCGAAAGCAAAGTCGCTCCTTTCAGATGCGATTCATCTCCAGCCCGTGATCTTCTCCAGGCTCCTTGTTCTCCTCTGGCTCATCACCCTTCCCGCCTGGCGCTTCTTTCCTTCCTGCTCATCATTATTTGCTGTAGACCCCAGCCCTAGGGCTCTGCAGTTGTACTGCACCGGAAATAGAGGCGGCAGCTCCGTGCATTGCCTTCTGGGCTCCAGTGACTTGTTTGAGGGTTTGGCGTTGTGTTTTTAGAGGAACTGATGCTTGATGTCCCTTCTGTGCACGACTGTTTCGCTGTACCACTTTTTCTGTGCTAAAGGGATACAGATTTGGGATTTTTTAAATACTTGCAGTGTTTCTTAAGGGCTTGAAGTGTTGCTTTGGAGCACTGGAAGCCTTGGGGCTTTTAGGTTTTGGTGGACTTCATTGTGAGAGCGCAGTGGGTGCCATTCCACCCTGTCCTCTGTGATGGTGCTTTACTAATGCTTCTCCAGTTCTCGTTTATTTTACTGCTGTTACAGGGAAAACCAAAAATATTTTAAGAAGCTGTAAATATCCCAGAAACATTGACTTTAAGGCCTGTAGGGAGGAGGCAGGTAGCTGTGAGCCTTGGGGGAATAGGGTTTTCTAGTCGTAGCTGGCATGGTGTTGGATGTCCCTTAGGACTGACTTCCCCCAGGGAAGCTTCACAGTAGGAAGCTTGGGCTGTTCCCGTCCGTGCCAGCATACCTCGGCTTGGCAAAGCTGCGCTCAGCTGCCGGCACGGGGCAGCATACCTCGCAGCATGAGGATGGCTTCTCCCATGCCCACGGAAGGCCGCGGCGTGCTAGCTGACTGGAAAAAGACTGTTGTGGGTGGTCTCGCCTGGAGAGGAGCGAGCTCTTTAGAGCGATCCTGGTTTATGCCAGGTTATGTGAGGATAGAGGGGGATGTGCGGACTCATTTTCTTCGTGGATGCTTTGTGTTTTATCATGGGAAGACACCTAAATTGTTTGGGTTTTTTTGCTGTTCCTGGAGTAGGTGAATAATGTGAAGTTAAAAAGAGAGGATAAAATCCATTATTTCTTATTTTGCTGGATGACGGAGTCATTTATGAGTAGGAAACAGCTGATTTTATTGAAGGGGCAGGTTTGTTAAATCTTTCACAAATCTAGATTCTCTCTCTACCCTTCATTGATATCTTTGATTTAAGCAGACCTTAAAGCTGTAAGGCGTTTGAATAAAAACAGTGTTATTCCTCCACTTGTCAGGCTTGGCTTTCGCAACACCTTCCAGCCACTCCAGGTGTGACATCTCTAACGTAGAAATAAAGCGGAAAAACCCTCTTTATAAGAAGAAAAAAAAAATAGCCCTTTTGTGTGTATCTTAGGGGAAGATGAAAGAGCACAAATCCAATTCCATGTTCCTTTTCAGGCCACCTTTAACGAGCCAATGATCCCGCCAGTGCTCTTCCCACACCCACGCGTCCTTCCCGGCGAGGTCTTCCTTTGAGCTCCTAGCTAAAAGGTTCCTGAGGTTCCAGCTGGAGTACACTAATAAAGGCGTTAACGAGTCTGCCCAACTTCGTGCTTTGTTTGCTGTCGACCCACCTGCAACTGCTGGCAGGAGGACAGTTTAAGGCTGCTGAGGGAGTGGCATACGGGGGCTGTCGTTCCTCTCCCGGAGAGCAGCACCTACCCTACGGCTTGCTGACGGGCTGTGGAGCGTAGGTGGAAGACTTGTGTGTTCCTCACCAGATCTCCAGCTGCGCTCAATGCAGGGGTGTTTGTGTCCCCAGTCTGCGTTTGGAAAACCGTCGACCTGGTGAATCACCATTCCCGTTTCCGGGGTCGAGCACCTGCAGACTGTCCACGGGGCGATTTGCTGCCTGCGGGCGACTCGCTGCCGTGAAGGGCATTAATGGCTGGGTTTGATGTTTGAAACACGCGGGCCTCTTCCTCCGTGAGAGAGGCAACACAATTAGCAGGACAGGAATGTGGCAGGTAGGAGACCAGGAGCTGTCTTATCTCTCATTTGCAGAAAACTGCATTGTATTGCTTTTTTAGCCATGAGATGTTTGGATAAATTATGGATGTGGCAACCTAGGCCAGAGGGGAAGGCATAGACAAAATGCCACCTTTTCAAGTCTGTGCTGGTAACAGTATGTTCTGGGCTACAGATCGCTCTGACTGATGGGCAGAACAAAATAATAGCGGTTCGTTATGCAGCGACTCCGTGTTTTTCCTGGAATTGTTGGCTGATGAAGAGAACTACACCCATTTGGTCAGAACAGAACTGTAGGAGCCAACATGAAAGCTGCTTTGAGTCATGCAGGCTGGACGACTAATTCAGAGTTGAAGTGTGGAGTATTTTTAATGAACCTCTGTGTCGCCAATCCCTTGCCGTCTCCGAGCGGGAGCAAGGCACAGGGAGAGCTGTGCCTGCAACAGGGAGCAAGGGGCTCGGCTGTTACACCTGCTCAGCAAACCGCAGACACACAGAATAAAAGTGCCTTTTTGAACTAAGGGGTGTCTAACAACCACCAGTTTTCAGGGAAACACTCTGATCTGCGTAAAGGTTTCATGGAACGATGCGGTTCTATCGGGAGTGAAGGAAAGTGCTTGAGGGTTCCTCTCCTGCAGTGTGTTCCTTGCATCCTCTCTTTGTTGCCCTGCGCGTTGCAGCGCTCGCTTGCAAAGGTGAAGCAAGTATTGCCATGCGCTGGTCGGTGTCAGTGCTGCACATCTGTAACCAAGGCCCTTCCTTTCCACCAGCTTATGCTGCGAACGCTTCCTGGGTGCCATTGCCAGGGCAGGCTTTCCAGGGAGGTGGGCCTAGTTCCGAGAGGGATCTCCCGATTCCCTAGGGTGCAAGCCAGCACAGAGGTGCTCGAGGGGAATGACTGGGTGAATTGGTGAGGCAGAAGTGGGTTGATAGCCCGTGTCAGATTATAATGGACAGGTAGGGTTGAGCTGGGCTCTGAAGGGCCTTGAAGGTGTCGTTAGTGCTCCTCTTTGATGTTGTGGAGGAAGAGGAGCCAGTGCAGGCAGGGGGGAATGGCCCTCTGGGGCTGTCTGGAGACAGAGGGATGTGCTCCTGGCTCTACTCCCAGGCAAGAAGCAAGCACACTATCTCGGCCACGCTGGAATTTGAATCTCTTCGTGAGGGGCCCTGGTGATACAGCCATACACGCTTTACCAACAGAGTGAAACGTGGTTTCTGGGAGTTGTGGCTTGGTTAGGTTGAATTCCACTCTTTACGTTCCCAGAGTTGTGTACAAACAGTGTGACTGTCCCTCTGTGTGCCCACCTCGCTGAGCCCGCAGCTCTGACCTGCCCTCACTCGTCCACCCAGGACATCCTCCGTGGGTCTCTGCTCCTCTGCCCGTGCACACCACGGGAATGCTGGGGTGGGGAGTGTTCTCTTTTTCCCCTCAGTTCTTGATCTTCCGTTTTCCCACATCTGGGAAGCAGTCGGACTATTCCGTGAAGCAGCATGTGGCCAGTGCACCTCCTGTGCCCCAGCTCTGCCCTCTCCTGTGACAGTCAGATGTCTCGCCCCTCTTTGGAAGTGCCTGAGTCTGGGCAGGGTTTCCGCCACTGAAATCCCAGAGCAGAGAGCTGTGATCCGCTGGAGCGGGCAGGCAGCATGCATGGTGTCCAGGATGTACAGCAATACTGGGTTTGTCCGGGGTTGGCGTTATGCTGGTAGCAATTAGGGCTCGTTTATAACGCCCGTACTACATATAGGCATGCAAAGTTGCCTTTCAGAGCAGGGGCTGTACCTGAGCATCACATTCTTGGGAACTGGGCACAAAGATGAGCAATTGTGCCATTCCAGCGTGTGAATTCATTTACCTCCTTTTTTTTTTTTTTTTAATTTTTTCAATCAATCCCCACAGAATGGAAATGACACCTGGAGCAGGGAGAAAGGGAAGTGTGGATAAAAGATTTCTGGAATAGTTGGGTGTTTGGCTGGTTCAGGTCATAAAACTCCCAAGACTTCTGTCTCCCAAACACAGCTCCGTTTCAAGACAATGGTTGAAAATACCAATGTACCAAGTAATACTGAGAGAACCGTAGCTATCCCAAATAATCTGTGTTTAAGGGGAAGCAGAATGGAAATACCCTTGCTTCCTGATGAACTGAAGAACTTGGGGGTAAAAGAAAGAGAGACCCCACAATGCTTTAAGGTTTGCCTGCAGTTGTCACTACGCAGTACAGCTCTTGAGACCCTCAGTGTTTGCTCTGTCCTCTAAAATGAGGTAAAACATGCAAAAACTTCACTGTTCACAAGAAATAATCATCAGATAATGTAACTGAGAGCAAAGGAGTCTTGTTCCCTTATGGGTGTAACCAGTTCCCACCTAACGGCGAGCAATCTGGTGGCAGATGCTGTAACTGCCTGGTGCATGCTCCTCTCTAGACGTTGTCGTCAACCCAAAAGCGTGGCCATCGCGTGCGTGTGAGTAGGAGTGTGCCGCTTCCAGTAGCTGCGTGCTGTTGTGAGGTCTGGCCATCGGAGTCTGAGAATTTACCTTTTGCGTTTTCCCTTACTAGGTTGGGATAGCAGCGACGATAGCTGTCAAGGAAAAAGAAGTCAAGAAACGCATTCGGAAAGCGGTTCCTCATGGAGTGAAAGAAGTCCTGTCTTCTCAAGGTAACGTTGTTACAGCATTTAACTTTTGGAATGCACCTGTCGAAGGAGGGCACAGAGTCTGTGGCTGAAGCTCTGGTGACCGTGTTTTTCACTTGGTCGGGTGAGGGCTTGTGTTGATGTTTATCTGATGCAGCACCTGAAGCTGCGGTACACCTCAGAAATAGTTGCATGGCGGCCGAGTGTTGTTTTGCAGCTGCCGTCTCTCGTGAGGGCTCAATTGACATGGCAGTGAACCACAAATGAGCGCGTGCAGCTGCTCGCGGTAGGGCTGCTCACGGCCAGACAATGGGAGTTGTCGGGAGAGGGGCAGGCGTCGCGCACAGAGGCTTCGGGAGAGAAAGTTCTGGGGTGGTTCTCCGTGTGCCCGGGATGTGAACTAGCTGGAACTGGATAATGCTTTTCAGAGCTCGGCCTTCAGGGGAATTCATTTTATAGCAGACCCTGGGGTATTTAATCTGCTTTCGCACCGAGCATCTTTAATGTCCCTATGTGCACCCAAAGCGCTCGCTCTGTTCGAGTTTTACTAAAAACCAGTCGGCGTGTGGGTTTTTCCCAGGGGCGGCAGCTCCCTTTGGGCCCTGAGCAGTTCTGTGGCATGTTCCCCGTATTCCCCATTGGCACGGTGCGGCGATCAACCGGCAGCCACCGAAGGAGTGGTTGTGAAGCAGCAGGCACATGGTGTGATGCAGCCATCTCCTCAAATACTGCCTGGGCTTTCGACCCTTTCTGCTCCTTGGGACAGCCCAGCCAGCGGGGCGGGGGGCGCTGCTGCGCCGCTCCCATGCCCGAAACGGCCACTGGCCCCGCTCGGGAAAGACTGGAAGGCATTTGGATAAATCTTTAACTCATGTTTATGTGGTGTCACTGTATTCCCACGGCTTTTTGATGCGGGTACTGGGGAGGTCAGTCTTGATGCGAGACAACTCCCGCTTTGCCAACCTTGTTCTGCGTTTTGTGTGAAAGCCACGGTAGTTTTGTAGTTCTTAAGTAGTGTAAAGACAGGCCATAATACCGTATTGATCAACAGTGCTTGTGCTTTTGTGCAGGATTAATTAGTCCAAATTTTCTAATTTTTGGGAACTTGGATGCTCCAGTCGTGCTGCACGGCTGCTCCTACAGATGAATTTCTAAATACTACGTTTCAGCCAGTTTGCTGAAGTGCAGGATGGTAGGAAGAGAAGGATCGGGCCCTGAAGAACTTCCTTACAGGATTGCTAAATAAATTACGTACCACTTAAAATGAACTATTTTTTTAATTCCAAAACATCTCCCAGCTTCTCCCCTTGGACGTGCAGCGCTCGCTGAGAGCGCAGTGGTGATTTCTGCGTTTGTCATATCACGCTGCTGGGAAAACACCTCTGTGTCGGAGTCAGTTTTTCTGAGCACGTCCCAAGTTACGCTGCCGTAAACATGGAGTTTATTAACATGCCTCGCTTTGGGAGGCTTGGCGCCCGCTCCGCAGTGACAAGGAGCAGCAGAGGAAGACTGGGAAGGGCGGCCGGCCGGCCGCTTGTTTGCGGGCAGGCTGCGGCGCGGTTCCTTGGCCGCTCGTGGTTTAAGCGCTCCACTTCCTGCAGTCACTTCTCGGGCTTTATTGCTTTTACAAGTGGTCTCGAAACCCGCTACTTGAGAATAAACATAACTGTGTTGTGCCGCTGCAGTACTTTCTCTAAATTCTTCTTTGCTCCGTTTTGTCACTGAGCTGATGAGTGACCCCGCGAAAGCCCCCGCTGGACCCAAATAAAAAAGATGGCTTCCTCTGATGTCCTCCCGACAGTAATTACGTTAAGCCCAAACTACAGCTGAGGGATTTTACTTTAAAGCGGAGGCTCGGGCGCAAAAATGCATTTATAGCTCTTTGTCTGGCACCTCATTATGTGTGGGCCTGATTCATTAAGTAATTGGTTTGCAGTTGTTTACATGAGTATTAAGGCTTTCTATTCAGCAGCCTTTGAGAGATACATTGTGCAAATGTTGCATGTCATGAATGCCGAATGAGGCGCCGGGGACCGGTCCTATTGGCCAAACACTGCGCTCTGTTGAAAAGCAGGAGAAAGGGATTGGGTGCTGCTTTGCATAGCAATGACTTGCTTAATAAGCTTTACAGATTAATACCCCCAAGCTATAAAAGATGCAAAGAGATACTCTTAGCACATTTATCCATGCTCATTTCACTATTATGGTACTGGAGACGGGAAGAATCGAGGGCTTTCATATTTGGGTTTTCAGTGCGTGTCTTCAGTGCATGAGACTTAATAGAATCCGATGTTTATTGTATTATAAATCACGGGGAAGTAGGCAGATCGGCAACAGTTTATTATTAAAGATTCTTTCAATGTAAATCTTTTTCTGCCATTGTGTTTCCTACAGCAAAATCATTTTGTGGTTGAGTGGGGATGAAAGGCATAATGCACGAAGGAGTGAGTCTTAATAGGAAGCTGCTCTCCGTGTAAAGACCACTTGTTCCCTTTTGTTTGGAGGTGCATGCCAGAGCTTCCTCTCCTCCCGCAAATGCCGTCCCGCTCCTCCGTGAGCCATAAAACTACGTTTTCCCTGGCTTTGCTTACTTTACCCAGGGAACCTTTACACGCATGGAGAGGTGACTTTCGTGCGAGGAGTTAGCGCTCCGCGGCAGAACGGGGCACGTTAAATTGCACAGTTGCTTGGGGGACAAGGTTCCAGAAGTCGGGGCCGACACCGCCGGCACTGTGTGTGGCATTTCCCAGCGCTGTAGCAGTGGATGCAGCCAGTGGAGGTCTCTTGCTTTCTGGGGAGCTCTGCGGGTTCGGTGCAGGTGCTTCGTTTTCCTCTGACTTGTCTGTGCCATCTCGTTTCAAAATAATCTGGAGATTAAAGATGTGCCATCAGCTGAGAACTGACTAACAATTTTAATTTGCTGGGATGTGAACATGGTGTAAAGTATTTTAAACTCTGAATCCGTCTCCGGGAAGTAATCCCACCTGCTTTCCCAAGGCTCGTTGGTAGTGGAAAGATGCAGTTACCAAACACAGATGTAATGATGTGCAAAAAAAAGTTGGCAGATTACAATTCAGCCTCCTATTTGTTCTTGGGGGTGATGGTTGGGGCCAGGCGCACCAAGGTGGGCTGGCCATCGGGGGGCACTCCGGCTCTGTGCAGTCCCCCATCCCAGCACCCACCCCTTCAAATCCGGTCCTGACATTGCTTAGCTGACTTGGGGGCTCTAGCGGGGAGATCCCAAACCTCTCAGCGGGGAGTGCTCGGGAGATTGTTGTCCAGGGGAAATGGAGGAGCGTCTTCCCGGAGTCCTGAGAGGCACACAGCAACGAGCCTCAGCCCAGCTGTACACTGCCATACTGTCAGTGGTCAGATCATGCTGTAAGAAGCTGGTTGTAAACTCTCGCATAGTTTTCTGACGTTACAGGCTTTTCTGTGAGCTGTGCATCCCAAATCTTAACATCCGGCCGTTGCAGAAACAGCAACGCTGCAGCGGCGATGCTCTGGGGGAATTGGTGGGAGAGGCACTGACAGCTCCCTGCCCACGCTACCTTCGTAGTGCCGAGGAAACAGTTTATTTTTGCAGCAATGCCCTGTGCTCTCCAATGTGGTTCCACCACAGCACCGCAATGCCGTCTTTGTTTTAGCGCTTTCTCTAGGCAGGAAGGTGTTTTGCCTGTTGTAGGCGCTGGCATAGCTACAGCTTGACAGGTTGTCCTGTCTGCAGGGGAATCACTTTACCTATTTGCAGCCTAACGACTTAAATTCAGTGTTGCGCTCCAGTCCTGGTGTACTGACTGGACACGTTAGTTCACAGACTTTCCAGGGTGGGGAATGCCTCCGCGATGCCCCATTTCTAGTAAAGGATCCGCGGAAAAGGGTAGACCCGTCAGGCGTCTGCGGGAACGGGCAGGACAGCGTGCGATGGGGATGCCCAGCTGCGATGCCACAGTTGAGGTGCTGCCCAGAGGCTTCAGGGCTTTGGAAAATGGCTTTTTAAGGATGGATCTGCAGTTCTGCCTTGAGTGGGGAGAGGCCTTGTGGCTCCGCTCGCCGAGGGCCGATAAGCATTTCCGCAAAGGAGAAGCGCTGGATCCGTGTGGTGCGCACAGGACAGCTTGGCCTATGGGGAGTGGGTTTTATTCTCTTGGTGGTTGGGTGGGTTTTGTTAGTTTGTTGTGTTGGGGTGTTTTCCCCTTGAAGGTCGAGTGTTTTTCTTTGTGTCTTTTCACCCCCCTCACCTTGGTGTTTCAGCACCTTTTCTTCACTCGACGCTAAAACGCAGAGGCCCAACCGGTGCTTTAGCAGGCTACAGCAAATGTTTTCTGGTTTTCAGTGAGCCACCTCTATTTCCCTGGCGCTTGTTGGTCTGGTGTTTTCCTCTTGATATTAATTTTCTGTACAGAGGGAAAAATACTTTCCTGAAGCTTCTTCATTTCTTATTGTTGCAGCATCTTCAATACAAAAAAGCCCGTTTCATCAGAGTAAACGAGAGATTAAAAGGCCCTTTGAAGTTAAACTGGTTTGGGTTTTTTCTTTGTTAGAGCCTGGGTTCAGTTTGGAATTATTTTAGGGAAGAAGCAAATGTGTAAATGGATAGGGTCACGCCAGGGGGATTAGTCGAGGTGGTGGAACTGGCCTTGCTTCATTTAGACCCCTAAAATTTCTCCACGGAGGTCTGTGTGGTTATTGTGTGCTCGGCGTAGCAGATGATAACTTCCAAGATTGAATTCGCCGGCTACTGAATGCAAACGTTCTGCCGCAACGTGGAGGTCGTCTTGCATCTTATCAGCCCTGGTGAACACTTCAGACGTAACTCCGGAATTTTATTCCCTGTTACAAAGCTATCTCGCAGCGTTTTCTAGGCTTGGTTTGGCGGAGTTGCACTTTCCGACCTGGCCTTTCTGAAGTCCCAGCTCCATTTTCCCTATCTCCCTTTCTCTGTGTGCCGGCAGCTTTCATGCCAAGCCTCTGCTGACACCCCCTTCCCCGGCTCTCTCTTCACTGCCTGCTGTATCACACCAACACCCAGCTCCTGGCTCTGGGAGTGAATCCCATTCCGCACGCGGTGGGTGAATCCCAACGAACAGGTGGATTGTGGTGGAATACAGCCATCTGCCTGACCCCTCTCCTGCCAGTGCTGACCTTTTCCTTAACAGGGTAGAAGAGGGAAGGATTCCAGACCTTCTGACAGCTATGGTGGTCTTTGTCCTCTGGGAGACCACTGCCTTCTGCCAGACCTGGAGCACCTCACAGCGCTTCGAGGTGTGCAAAGAGGGTCAAGCTGCCTGGGACCCAGGCAGTTGTCCAGCACTGGTCCCACCTGGTGGTGCACGGTGGAGGCTCTGGTCCCACCTGGTGGTCCACAGAAGAGGATCTTCTGGGACCTGTGTTGTGCATGGTGGTCCACAGCGGAGGCTCTAGGCCCCAACAACCATCCCTTTCGTCTTCCATCTGGGCTTGAACCGTGGAAGACAGGAGCTGCCCCATCTCATCTCACAGAGCTACTTGAAGATGAGGTGGTCCTTGTGCAGCCTGCCACAGGACTCACCTCTCCATTGGTAGCTCAGCAACAAGTGGTTTCTTGCTTTACGCCCAGGGGAAAATCAACGCAGCCACCAGCGTTGCATCCTCTTGAGCGCCTTTTTATGGGCTGAGCCTGGGATACGTGGAGCACCTTCTGGGAAATGCTGAGGGTCGAGAAATCCCACCAAAGCGAGTTCAGGGCGTTGAGCGGGCTGCAGGACTCGTCCCGGAGGCTCTGACCCAAAGCATTTGCAGGAGACATGGCTGAGTAGATGCATCTGAACGAGAAGTTAAGTGTAGGGTTTGAGTAAAACAGAGAGGTGTGTGGCAGGCGTGGTGACAAAAAGCCAGATAAATGAAGGCAAACACTTTAAAGTGTTTTACTTAACTAATTACTATCTTCTTATTTCTTTACGTCACTGGTAATACTCAGCTCGTGCTGTAGTACTCACATCTCAGTCTGGCGTCTTGGTTGTCTACGTTTAACTTTCTGTTTCTGGAGGGCTTTGTGTCTCTGCACAGAGGGATGTTGTGTGCTCATGGCATTCGCGGCTTGCAGAAATGGAGTCCGATTCCAACAGTATGAGCTTTCTCTTATTTGAAAGGCCAAGTTCCTGTAGTACAGGTCGCTGTAGCATAACATACTGCCTCCCTACTTTAAGCTTAGCTTTCCAGCTGCATCCAAATTCCTACGGAGTACAGCACACACAAGAAATCCTCTCTGTGCTTTGGGTTTGTATCTCCTCAAACGCCTCCACTGTAGCAGCGGGAATACTTAAAGCAATTACATATTAGCTGCCACGTCTTTAAATGAAACACAGCAAATCTGACACCCGATCGAGTTGTGTTTTGGCGGCGGCTTCCAGCTGCAGCTGGATGTTTGCTTATACGTTACTGCTTCACACAGTAATACTGCAAACATCTCCTATTTGATCTTCCTTATTCAAATCAGCCGCAGCTTTATTTTTGGAGCTTATTGCAGGATTGTTAATCTAACAGTTAATTCTCCTACACCATTGCCCCCGTGTGATTATTTCACAGCACCGACACAATACACGCGCTGCACACAAAAGATCAAACTGATTCCAGCTTGTTGGAGAGATTCAAAAGGGCCTGTGATGCTCTAGACACAAGAGCCATCATTGACCACAACAGGGCCGCCACTGCGCACATCGAGGCAGATGAAAGGTGACTGGGAGATGGCGCCTTTCTGCCGGGCCATGGGCGAGGCTGTGGGAACCCCACAGCTGGGCTGGAGGAGCCCGCTGTCTGGAGGGGAAACAGGAAAGTCCAGGGAGCACTGGGGGAGTGATTTTAGTTTTGATTGGATTTGTTCTTTGCTTCCTTGGCATTACCTGAAAGGCTGCATAAGAGGGACGGAGCCCTAAGCCTCTGCACCCTTAATTCAGCACCAACGAATGACTCCGGGTCGCGCTGCCTGAACTCCTGGACTAGTGTCACGATAATGACTCCACCTTTTAAAAGACGTGAAGAAACCCCTGAGAAAACAGTTATTAAAGAAAAAAATAGTTACAGAAGTTACTGGTACTTTTTTTAAGCCATCTCACAGTTGTTTTAAAAAAGTGGATTTACACTCTTTGAGCTTTGTGACATTGTGCTGACTATGTGAAATCTTTGTCTTACAGGACTGAAACCAGGAAGGGCATGGCAGCTGCTATAAAATCCAAAGGTAAGAAACGAACAGTGTGCTACTTAACATCGGTGTCTTTCCGAAGGTAATTTATGTTGCAGAAAACCTCCGAGAACCATGTGGTGGAACTGTGTAAAATATGAGTAAGGACTGGGGAGAGGCTGGGATTTCCCAGTCTCAACGCTGGAGCCAGCGAGTAGTCAACAGTGACAAACCCTGGACCAGAGGGGAGACGTTCTCTAGTGCCAGTGGTGTGGAAGGAGCAGTGGGCTTTGCTGCAAGGTTCCAATCAAACCATAGCGAGTGGCATGTTGGAGACAACCTCGAACAGGAAAAACCTGGCATGTTCCTGCTTCCCTGCAGAGGGAAGGTCTTCCCCTTAGGAGGCTGCCATAAGTGAGGGCTGCTGTGGTGCTGTTTGGAAGGCGCTCTCGCATCCCCACCCTGTTTCCTTCTCTGCTGGAGAGGTTCGTTATTTTTGGAGCCTTTTGGTGTGTTCAGCCTCTTCCCAGGTGTTCCGCGTAGCTGGCACCGCTTTGACGTTCCTGGCTGAGCGCAGACCCGCGGTCCAGGGGGCCAGGGATATAGGATGAAAGATGCAGCTGCTGCATTTGTAGATAAGATGTTTCTATAGCTCCTGCCATCAAAAGCCACGAATGCGTTAACAGTGCCTTAGTCAGACGTGAGCCAAAATCTCCATGCGAGGCCCCAAGGCCTCTCCTGTCCCCGAGTCCCTATTTTTGGGGCTCAGCGCATTGAAATTAGTTCCCTTTATCCCAGTGAAATTGTTTGCCAGCTCCCCGAGCTGTTTGTTAAAGCCACGCGGTTCTGTGCAGTCGTGCTGGTGTTTGGCCCTGCCTCAAAGCGGTCATTTTGCACTTGTGACATCACTGCCGGTTTTATGCCAACTCTGTGATGTCACCATCCGACGGTGACTTCACCGCAGGGTCAAGTAGGGGGAGAAAGCGGAACATAATAGACAAAGCTGTAATTCAGGCAGCAGCTGCTCAAGTGAATTGCTTGGAGTGGCAGTGTTCTCCCAAGCTACCTTGAGGAAGAATGAAGTGGGACCTCTGAATGAGCCCACTGTCTGCCTGCGGCTGCACCGCACGCCTGGGCACCGTGGCCTTCAAAGCTCCCACCTCTGCAAGCCTGGTGCCCGCCTGCCTCCGGAGAGCTGTGAAACGATCGCCTCTGCGACGTAAATGAGACAGAAACATCAAGATTCTGTAATTACTATTTTTTTTTTTTCTCCTCACCCTCAGCTTTCTGGGGCGAATCCGATGACAGCTGCTCCGAGATTGAGGCTGCTTTGTGCCCACCAGCTCACAGCACGGAAGCAGATGAATTTGATGACTTCTACGACTGAGATCCCACCCGGCTCACTTTTGGGGACAGAAGCGAAGTGTTTCACCCCGTATGTATGGAGGGTGCCGCAGGCTGAGGTGCAGTGCATCCCTTTACAGCCAAAGAAATTCAAATACGGAATAAATATTTCTGGGCCCTACACGTGGCCTCCTGGTATGTGTGCTGTTCTTAGCTGCCACGTGTTTTCCCCGTCTGGGGGCAATCTGGTGACATGAGACTGAGCCCTAATGGGGTTATATTTGGGTTTGAGGCAACAAATGAGGGTACATCTCAAGATACCCGCTTGCTCCGAGGTGCTTGTGCAGTGCTCATCCCTGAGCACGATCCCCTTGGAGGGCAGGGGCTGTCTAACAACCTCCTCCTCGGCGGGGGTGCAGAGTCCCTCCCTGTCCCTCCTGTTCCTTGGTTGTCCATGGTACCGGCAGCAAAGGCGTGGGACATGGGTGGAGAGTCATTCCATCGCCATCTGGAATTGATGGTGTTCAGGGGCCAAACCTGCCTCATGTCCGTCCTGCTGGGAGCTGTTCCCTGCGGGCAGCCCAGCCGCCGCTTTTGTCGCACTGTGAACAGACTGTCCCCTCCTGACGCGTGCGCGTGTTCCAAGGGTTTGGCTGCAGAGCTGGATGTGGGGCTGGGAAGAGGAAGCAAGCGTTGCGGGTGTGCTGCTCCGGGTGGGCTGGCGTGTTTGATCTTTATCTGCTTCTGCAACAGATCAAGAAGAAGAAATGCATGAAATGTGCATTTCTAATTGGGCGCAGTTTGGAACAGCAGCATTTATGTGCGGCAAGCCCCAGCACCTTCCTGCTTCGCTCGCTTTGTAAAACCCACGCAGCGTTGCTGTATGGACATCACAGTAATTGGATGACTCTGGGAGCTTCATGCATTTTAATTTTCTTCTTTTAGTTCCTTTTATCTAAAATTAAGTTCATAAAACAGGAGATTTTTCTCTTTCGGAGGGAGAAACCAGGGGCCATTTTACAAAAAATAAAACCTGTTCACAGTTACGCTACGTTCCGAAGCAGAGAAGCAGTGCCCCCGTTAAACGCCGCTGCAAAGCCGAGCCAGGTCTTTGGATGTGGGCGCCACGCTTGGGCCCAGTCCCTCAGAACCAACGTTGAAAGGGTAACAACATTCCATTCAATAAGAGGAGCATGTGGGCCGAGACACGCTGGAGAGGAGGACATAAAGGCTTGCAGGAGGCCTGAAGTAAGAAGCCCTCGGTACAGATGGCGGCTGGCTCAATGAATCTCCCGGTTTTCAGCCTGGTGGGGTGCAGGGTCGAATGTTCCAGCACCTGGAGAATCAGCTGCAGGAAGGAGGGAGCTGGGTGTGAGCTGGCTGGTCCCGACTACAGGACTGAAGCCAGACTTTATGGAAGGCACATTGTGCCCTGTCACGCTGCTGCCTGGGGTGGCCACCACATTGGTTTAGGGGATTCTCAGCAGTCTCCTCGCTGCTTTTTTCCGCATCATCCATCCCTATGCCATGGCAGTTCATCCTGATGGTTGTAGCCATCTGCTAAACCGCTGTGTTGTTTGCCAGCGAACATCAGGGCAGGGTTCATCTGGAAAAGCTCTCCAGCAGCGCCGATGCTCAGTAACACCCCGTCAAATCCGCGGTGCCTTCGTGGCTTTAAGCTCTTCCTGAGTGATTCTGGGTTCTTGATGTCAGCCCACTTTATATCTCCCCGCACGATACAAGGCACCCGTCACCCGGCTTCGGTGCTTTCCATTCCCTCCGTCCGGCGCAGCCACAGACACGCAACTCGTGACAGATGACAGATGGCTGCGGGAGCTTCTGCTAAGGCAATCTCTCGGTGTTGGAGCGATAGCCGGGTTCCTCCGGAGCATTATTTATTGTACTCTTATTGTGCACGGACTCATTAGATGCAAAACGTTCTGCCAGTCAACTTTACTTGGCTCCTTCACAGCTGTCACCCCGGGGACGATGACAGATGACGGTGATGGATGGGGCGACGGTAATCAATACAGCCCTAGCAGATTGACATCAGCACGCCACTCATCTCGGGAAAATACTGCAAGGCAAAGTCTGTCCGTGTTCCTGCCGGCTGCCTGCAACGCCTCGGCACTACGGTCTTCTTCCATGTGTTGTGTGCAGAAGGCCGCAAGGCCGAACCTCGGCTGGTGCCCTTCTGTCTGCTCACAAGTTAGCGCACAGGGGCTGACAACCGCTGGGGGAGTGCGGTTCTCTGGGGAGCCGGCAGCGTGTGGGCACGCAGCCCCGGCTCCTGCCGAGAAGCCAAGGCAGTGGCTGCACGCAGAGAACCTGGGTGCCGATGGAGCAGGTGGCCGCTTCCCAGGAGAGAAGGTTGCGCCGAGAAAGGAGCGCGTCCCCGCTCCAAACTGGGCGTTGGGCAGAAACCACTGCGCTTTCTCCAGCGGCAGCCTGTGCTGGACTCCATGTTTCCCAGCTGGCTGCTCGCCCCTGGCGCAACAGCAGCCCTCGCTCCCGTTCAGCCGCTTCTGCCTGCCCCGTCTTGGTCCCAAACACCCGTGCTCGCCTCTAGCAGCAGGTCTACGGGGGACGCCAGCCCATGTCGCTGCAGGACCGGCTTTGCTTTGGGGTATCTGTCAAGAGTTTGTTTTGCTGGTTTTTATTTTTAGCAAAATGTGGATTTTAGCAAAACGCGGATTGACTTTTCAAGGAAATGTTCGTATTAATTTTTTCCAGCGCTTGTTTACGCCAAGTAATTATAAGATAAGATGATCACGTTTCGTTTGCTGCCGTCGCCTTTTTTAGCATTATCAGGAAAACAACTGATTGCCCATCAATACAAACAAAATGTTCACACTAAGCCGTCTTACTCAGTACTCGGCTCCAGGAGGAGAAACACTACAATAGGAAACTTCAATCAGGGTGCGTTTTGTAAGGAAGAGATAAAGGACAATCTCGCTGATACCACAGATGTGCTGCCAATACAAAGTTGCTGGGGAAATTTATTCAAGTCACAGATTTTATTAAGAGGAGCGACAACAGAAAATGGCTTAACAACAGCCAAGTGAGGCTAAGGATAATGAGAAATACAATGTTGGGCTCGTTTGTTCTGCAGCGAACGAGCAAGGTTCCTCGCCCCTCCCCAGCTCAGCAGCGTTGACTCATGCAGCACCGCCAAGATTTTGTTATTTTTGTTAATGATTCCCAAGGCTGCTTTTCCATGTCCTCGCCCCCACCACTGCCCTCCTAATGAAGCTGCTGCATAACGACAGCACCCAATCTCCATATTAATCCCACTTAATACCTGAAGGTTTCATTCCATCCCAGCGCCGTCAAAGGGCTAGCGGAGTGGTTGGTTGCTGACGGGACGGGCTTTCTGCATGCTCGCTGCTTTTGGTGCCACTGCTGCCTCAGTTTCCGCTGCCCCTCCTGCCAACGCTCCCATCAAACCTACAGCCCTCCTGCCTTCTGAAGGGGAAAAAGGCCTTTTCCAGAGCCTTGCCCCTTGGTTTTCAGTCCTGGGGAGGCAGGCTCGTGGGAACGCAAAGCAGGCCCACAGCATTGACTTGGACAGAGCAGCCAGGCCTTGATCACCTTTGTCACCAGTCTCCTGCCTGAACCATCCCACGGAAGTGGGAAGCCAGCCCATGTTGGCCAAGACACCACTGTAACACGGGTTTGTGTTCGCTGACGTGAGGTTTTCACACAGAGCCTTGCCTGAGTAAGGGTGGCAGATGCTGCCTCACAGGTCAGCCTGGTCCCAGGCTATTCCCTCCTGCTTCCCCTTAAGCTTTTGTACCTTGGACCATTGTGCCTAAGGAGCTCCCCCCGCGCAGGTTTAGGGGTGAGGTCACGCCGCGGGCACCTCAGGGCCGGGCCGCCTCACACCCGCGCCTGCGC